TTTCTTCCTTTTTGTGCTTCAAGCCATCCCTATATCCCCCTTTCATTTTGAAGAAATGATTTTTCCACTTGTGCTATTACAAACAGACTGGAAAATGTCATTCTTTGGAAACCACCACCATAACATTGAGAGTGGCACACTAGGCAACATTATAGGGATTGTGTGGTAGGCTCGGGGGTATCAGTGTGCTCAGAATCTTTTTGTAAACCATGCTTCTTACATCCCATTGTCTCCCTTCTCTTACATTATACAATCCCTATAATATTCCTCTTTTCGCAGGATTTTTTTAATACACTTGTAAGATTTCCCCCTTCCCTCAAGACACTCTTTATTCCATGGAATTGTGTCCTCTTTAAAAGCTAAAGATCATTTTGATAATGGCAAACATTCTTGGTTGACTGGGAAGTGAAATAGGTCAGCAAAAAATAATTCCATCACACCAGTCACAGAGAATAAGCGAAAAAATAGTTCTATCACACCAGTCACAGAGAATAAGCAAAAAATAATTCCATCACACCAGTCATAGAGAATAAGTGAAAAAATAATTCCATCACACCAGTCACAGAGAATAAGTGAAAAAATAATTCCATCACACCAGTCACAGAGAATAAGCGAAAAAATTATTCCATCACACCAGTCACAGAGAATAAGCTGTAGCTCTTCAGCCGAAACCTTTGGTGTTTGTATAATATATTCTCTGTGACTGGTGTGATAGAATCATTTTTTCGCTGACCTGATCTTATGATAGTTCATTTGCCTGATTGACGTAACATGTGTGTCAGATTCCTGAGTGAACTTGTTTTTATAGTCTACATTGTAAACATTCCACGATATTGCCATGGAATGTACACACACACACTTAGTTGTATATAGCTATGTAGCTATACAGTATATTATCTCAGATAATATACTGTATAGCTACTACAGCAACCTTTATGAATAATAATCACGATGAAATATTCACTACCTATATTTTGTCATGCATTGTCACAACCTAATTGGGGGATTTGCACAAACATTACCACCAAAATTCGTCAACAGCAACTTTTGGTGGATGTAGTGTCAAACACAACTGTAGCCCCACCCCTACACAGCCACATAATTCAAATGTGCAATGTGTGTGGCATCACCTTCATCAGACACATGTCTGAGTAGGGGCAAGTGTAGCTAAATAGCTGCATCGAAGTTGGATGCTTTGCAGCCAACATAGAAAATGAAAAATGCCACAAGAGGCAATGAAATGAGGTGTGCATTGTGTCCGCCAAAAACTAGAATTTCATCTAAGTGCCTTTGGTATAACACAGACGTGTAGAATCTGATGCCATTCATTCAGACGATGTTCATTAGGTACCTTCATTCTTTAGCGTCATGATCTACACATATTGAGACAGTGTCCACACAACAGCTAACTAGTTTGAGAATATATTATATATAGTAGTGTTGGATTGCTAGCTACCAGTAAAAATCGTCATCTGTGACATCTTCTGTTGTGTTACCTAATCACATTGACCAAGGCCAAGTGGTAACATTTCGCAGCAAGCTCCGCGTCTCAAGCTAGATCCGCGAGTGAGACAAAAATGGGTGTGTCTCAAGAGGCTTCGGTCTCTGGACGTCATGCCGCGATTCGCGGCTTTCTTCGTAGCTCAGGGCGATCTCTCTCTCGCTCCAGTAAATCACAAATATATGTTATAGTTTTATCCCTGTTCAGTAGCTTCGCACACACTCGAAACAGAACGAGAAAATACACACAAAACTCACCACACAAGAAAGGGGGGTGCTTTTTTCTTGCGTAGGAGTTTCAATACGCATGCGGCGACAAAATAATTATCGCGGAGCTACGTACAGTGCTGGCCCCGCCCCTTTACATAATTGCCACAGGAGAAAAGAAGAAAAACAGGTTATGAACATAGGTTACGAGCTAAGAACACCAGCAGATTTTTCGTGACTCAAACTTAATCTTATATGTTTCCAGAAGGGTGAGGATGGCGACAGTGTGACGCAGGACCTAGGAGTGTCCCAAACTCTGATGGTGTTTGCCGGCAATTGCTGCACCTCATAGCACGTCACCCCCAGTGTTGTATATACAGGAAATCCTGCATTCAGATGACTGGAGGTGGGCTTGCTTCGCTAGCCAATTACGTATGCAACACCGCACTCCTTCATCTTCGTTTTGCTGTGTAGACGTTGACAACCATAATAGATCGAGCAAAAGGTGGGAGTTTTAGGTTTGCTTATATAGCTGGAGTCGGTTTAACCAAATTCATATTTGGAGGTTACACTATGGATAGGGTTGCACACAGTTGGAAATCACTAAATCACACTGTAAACAGCATGGTCCAAACAGAACATTAAAGTGCATAACTCAGGTACTAACTAGTGTTTGTGAGCATTTTGCAGTCTACTCTTAGGATTCCGAAGATTTCACTTTCAGCTCTTCTGAAGAATCTTTTTCATGGCAAAGTCAACAAAACGTTTTTTAACAGATCCAAACTTATCCCCCTTACTGGCTATGGTGTCTGCAGCCACACTATCTCCTGCCTTGAGTTTGCTGATCAACTGGCGACCCACCACAATTGGAATCTCACCTCTTTCTTTCTGTTGTTTTTCGAGCTCCTCGTGAGTGACATTCTCTGCATCTCTGATGCGGTGTTGGCTGTTGATCAGTATCGCCAGCCTTGACTTGTCATGCGCAGACAAAAGAAACTGGAACCACAGGTTTCCAAGCCAGTGATCCCTGCCCGGTAGACTGAGACCACTGCCATAGTACCCAGCTGGTTCGACTGGAACCTCCCTGGCAATCTTGTCAGGTACACCGGCTCTCATGAGAGCATGTCGAATGTTCTCCTCCCAGTGATTGATGCGTGAGGCAAAGGTGTGATTGGTATCATCTCCATCCTCAACATCTTCACTAATTATGTTTTCTTCCAGTACGTTGGCAAATGTTAGGATGATGACTGCATGACGCCAGACACTAGGACCAAATATTTTGGTCACTACCTCTAATGCTGAGACTATATCTTTTGGCACACATCGTGCCTGCGAAACGTCGATGCAGTAGAGCAGAATGTCGATGCTATCCTCAGACTCTTTCTGTAGCTGTTGCATGTATGACGGCCCTTTCCCTGTCCCGTCTTTTACTCCGGGGCTATCCCATACTGTGACGGTATAAACTTCGTCTAATAGCGAGGCCTTTTGCGCTACGTAACTCGCAACTTCTTGCGTCTCGAGTAAAAGATTGTCGCCTTGTGTCGCGGGACGCTGGTCTCCCGGAACTACACCGCAGAGTGTGTTGATTAGCGTGGACTTCCCTGCCCCGGTCACTCCCGTTATTGCAACATTGATGTTCTTTTTGGCTAGCCTTAGAGCTGTGATGAAATCGAAATGCCGTTCTTCTCCACCGTCAGTACTAACAAAATCTTCAAGAGCACATGGACGCACAGTCGGTACAACCCTAGATTTCTTCTTGCTGTTGCTCATGATTGCTCCGTTGCTAGACGAGGGATGCGGATTTTCCCCTTAATCCCGCCCCCGTGCGTCCCACCCACATGATAATTATGGAGGACTCTGCAGTTAGCTTTACTCACCTTTCATCGTCTTTTCTACAGCACCTCTCAGTCGGCATCAGAGAGCAACTGGAGCAGTGGCTAAGTTCCAGCAATGAGCTCTCCATATTCGTCAGCGGACGAACTGGGAGCGGAAAGTCGTCACTCGTGAACGCCCTCCTGGGGGCGAAGGTAGCGGAGGAAGGAGCCGAGCCTGATCCGACCACTGCAGAGGTTACTTGTCACGAAGGCAGCGCGAGCGGCGTTCGGGTCAAGGTATGGGACTCGCCTGGTCTGCAGGACGGCACCACTAACGAAGAACGTTACCTGAACGACATTGCAGCGAGGTGCTCACCAATAGATCTGTTTCTCTTCTGTATCAACGTTGCAGATGCAACGAGATTCAACATGGAATCGCCAGACGTGAAAGCCCTTGCTAAATTAACAGAGAAACTTGGGCCAGAGATTTGGAATCACGCGATAATTGCTCTGACATTTGCCAATAGGCTAGGGCAAAAGAGTGAAGAGATGAGGCTAGCAAAGCAAATTAAGGACACTGTCAGATTACGGGAGCTGTTCAACCACAAGATCATCCAGTGGCAAGAGTCCTTGCGAGATATACTGGGTAAAATTGGCCTTTCTCTTGTGCAAGTGGCAGCTCTGAAAATGATTCCGACCGGTCACCCACGTCGAGATCCAAGTCTCCCGGACCGTCCTCACTGGCTCAGCACCTTTTGGTTCGAGGCCCTCCGCTCCACTCACCCCAGAGCCCAGCCTGCACTCCTCCGGATGAATGAGACACGCATCGTCGAGAACCCCGAAATGGTAGACAAGAACACTCATAGCCAACACTCGGAAGACATGGCATTCATATTCAGTGACTTTGCTTGTAATGTTGGGAGCTTTATGTACGGCTCTAAAGATTTGGGGTTGATGATTGGTCTGGATGCAGCTAAACGCAAGGAGTTTGAGCTCACAGAAAGCCTAGTACTCGAACAGTTTCTCATCATGGAAGTGACAAAGGAGCATCAACAGATGTCTCACAGTTCTGCAAGTCCACTAGCCAGCAGCAGTGGTAGCGAGTCTTCTTATTCTCCAGATAACTCTAGGGGTGATGTCCCACCAAAGGGAGCGGAAGGAAGCTGTGGTCCTGTAGCAAGCAATGCAGTGTGTGGGGGACCGTTTGATGGATGAAAACAATATAGATAGCAGTTTTTTACCTGAGGGTTAATTAATGTAAAGTTATCCATTCGTTGAGATTTCAAAGACTTTTTCAAAGATCAGTGTGGGCCATGTATTATTTGAGCAATATTATCTGCTAATCCAGTCGAAACTTTGGCATAATTAAAGGATTACGTCACGTGAAACTATTGGGCGTGGCTCGTTTGCGTATATAGACATCCCAGTAATTATGCAGGTCCTTCAGCCGGTTGGAGCTCCTGTACTGATCTTAGCAGCAGTGTTAGTGACCACGTACGCCGCTTCTTGCACAGTGGACTCACAGGACAAGTGTCGCTGCAGCGAATCAGCCAGCTCCCTCCTAGACGTCGGCTGCATCTTCAAATATCCGTACGTATAGCTGTCGCTGCGTAAACGATACGCTTGGTATTCCAGCTTGGTCATCCCACTTGCAACAACGACGTACGGCATAGGGCCGGAGCGACGCGACGTATATAGCTAATGTTGTTAACCCGTACAGGTATGAATTTCATGGGACTATTGATGATACGACATACACCTTCAGATTCAGTCCTTGTGGGGACACCGAGTGTGAGCCACAGAATGGAACTGTGAGTATCTCCCTTTCCCTCCCTCTCTCGTTATTATCTGCAGCCACTTCTGCTTGTAATTCACAGACGACAGTACAAACTACTAAAATACACTAGTTGTATTGCTAGAGTTGCCAACATTATAGTGGGTGGTGTAAAGTGAGTGCCTCTATTCTGGATAATGCTCAACAGCAAAACTGTACATGTTTATAAGGCATACTGTTAATTAATGCCATTGCATTTCAAGAGTGCGTGTAATGGTGATTTATGTAAACACATTAACTAAGTTCTCTAAAATTATAGCTGTGTTGCTGATTTGCGGTGTTATAGATGTGTCAGTATGCTGCAGACCTGGACAGATGGTTTGTGTTGGGTCGTCTCAGTCAACTCTCCTGGACCATCAACTCCCATTCTCCCCTCAACTTTACCATCCAGTATGGAGACGGGGAGGTGGGGCCTGACATGACCACACCCAGGTGACCCCACCCACTCACGACATCGACTTTTGATCCAACATGTATCGTCATACTCATAGGAAGAGTTTGGTGACCTTTTTGCACTCTGACTCCAGTGACACGGAGATAGAGTTTGTCAAGGAGGAGCCACAGCTTGTCTATGTATGTACGTTTCTTACACGTATATTATTTATGGAAGTAAATCTATGGCTTCGAGAAAGAAAATGAATGGGATCTCCTTAATATGGTATTTTGCAAAGAATGTCAACTTTTGTCCCACGATAATTATCGTTTAATAGCAAAATTCATTACAGAATGATGGCTTTGTTGTATCTATTTGTACTGTGTCTGTGTCCAGCATTTCCAGGTGACAGGCAGTGTAGTGAAGGCAGTTGATCACTACTCTCCATGTGGAGGGAAGACGAGAGAGGACGGAGGAGTTCAGGTTGGACCCATCGGAATAGCCATCATTTTCCTGTGAGCCTTAGCTATAAGGGAGCAAAAGAAGTCAGGGAGAAAAAGGGACATTTATGCATACATGAATGATCTACCAAAGAGTGCTTATAATTATATCATGCATGGAAAAACTAAAGGATCTGTGAAAGTTGGTATATAATGTTATGTAAGCTCCGCTCAGAATATCTTCTCACTTTGTTCCTCCTCTTTTCTGTGTATATGTAGTATGTAAGTCAAGCGCAAGGTGTTATTTTTTGCGTAAATGGTTACACTTAAAACACCTGTAAAGTATTCATGTATAAGCTACTCATCTCCACCCACTCTTCCACCACTATAGCTATGCCTATTAGCTATCCACTACCACACTGACAACTAAATACTGTGTGACTGTGTGTTTGAGTGTGATACCAGAGGATAACCAGAGAAGACCTCAAATTGAAAGGAATCAGTGGCATACGTATTCGCTAAGGGGTGAAATAAACAGAAAGGTGATGAAAGGCACGAAAGGGTTTAAGACGGAACAAACCCCACCCCCCCCCCCCCCCCCCCAATATACAAACCTAATTTCCTCTTGGCAAACCCGAATACCAAAATTTTATGCATTAAGGTAAGTCTCCTGACATTATTACTTGAAGAGTGACATTTTCTCATTCCTGAATCCTGTTATAGATGGAGTTATGCTGACATTCAGCCCCTGCATTAATAGAATCAAACGAACTTCATCCAGATACGAACAGGGTGACTAATAAGGAGAGGAAACATGTATGGGCGTGTGGTAGGGACGAGGGCTGTGTGGAATTTCGAATCAGGGTTGTGATAGCGTGAGCGACCGAACCACTAGTAATACGTAAAGCTATAGTTGAGATAACTGCATAGTGTTACAATTACTCCAGGATTCACATTGTCACATGCACCTAACGACATTCATGCTCATCATTACTAACTGTTTGTAGTTAGGTGAGGTGGGTGAGGTCCAGGTGTCACATGAGCACTGCATTCTCTAATGACAGCCACCAAAGCACATATTAGGTAGATACAGCCATACACACCAAGCACTACACTCAGCACTGAGTTTTCCTGCTGCACTTTTCTGATTGCCCGGCCTTCACCATGGCTTTGGCTGGTCTTCAAACCTGTACCATTGTCCTGGTTTGTACTCTTGCTCTGGTGGTTAATGCAGACGAGGACTGCAAAACTGACGGCAGTGACTGCAGGTGTTCCACCTCTAATGTCACTGATTCGACCTAGACAGATTCTCTCACACACTACCGTGAGTAGCAGCACGTAGGACGCAGAAGGCGGTATGCGAGTGGCCAGACGCACTATACAGCAGGGCGGATCTGCCTTCTGTACTGTGTGCTCCCGCGCCAGCGATATCTCTAGATTTTCGTATGGACGGTAGCTGTAAGACACGGGAAGACAAACAAGTCAGAAAGATAGAAAAACTTGACCGCACCTGAAAGACACATATAATAGAAGCCCTCAGGACAGAACAAGGCGGGGAAGGGAACAAGAAAGGAAAGCGGGGAGTAGGAGCTTGGAAATGCCAAAAGGGTGATTAAGGTTAGGTGTTGAGAGAGAGAGCATAGATTATAAACAATCAATATTCGATAGGCCGACCCTGCAACACACTAGATCTAATCCTTCATTGGAGCTTGATCAAGCATCAGGGATGTTGTTAGTCACACAATAGCTAGCTACCAACTAGGTAAACATGAAAATGAGGTTGTAATGAGGTATGGAGTCATTCTGTGCTGAACTCGTACATGTAAAGGCTCACAATACCAGGGGCCAACATAAAGGTAGGCTGGCCCGCGCGGCAGCAAGTACGACATCACTTACATGCGTGTAACCCTCAGGGTCGTCCCTTGCAACAGAGATCCGAGTGTGGTGAGTATATTGAGGTTGACCAGTATAAACGCAGGGTTTTTAAATCTCGGGTATTATGTGCATGTGAATGCGTTATATTCTGATAGCAACACGCTGAATTTGGGCACAGTGGTGTGGGTGAAAAAGAAACGATACGCTCAAATCAGTAAGAGAAGGAGTCTAGTGGGTCTGCAGGAAATGTTCTTTGCATTGTGGTGCAACTGTAGGTATTGTCATCCAGCAAGTAAACAAAAAGACACGTGTTATCTTCTGCGGGGCGAGAATAATGGCATTAAAGGGAAAGTGTTAACCCCATTACAACTCCTTGGAGTTTGAGATCCATTATTTGTCGGTGGGAGAGGGGACAGGTGAGCTTCTGAATAGTGTATTGTGTCCTCCCTGACTAACCGATACTCTCCAACAGAAAGGACTATTATTTCCTTCAACGCCATGGGACGGGATCTACGGTATTCTCATATGATCAAAAGAGGGGGAAACCAGAACTAACCTACTGTGAGATTTTCACTGGCGTGTATCAGTTGCAAGTAGTCCGAATGCCCTCCCCCTCACCGACCTCTCTCTTTCTCGGTGGATGTCAATTGTGGTTGGGTCATCAGTAGCTACAGAAAAATGGGGAGAGGATGGCGGGGGGGCGTGCTCCAACCGGTTGTTTAGAAGAGTGGCAATGTTGCTGGACCAGTGGCTCATCCTAATCGTCCATGTAAGCCCACACAAACCTTAGAATATTGATAGGGGAGCGGGGAAGGGGAAAATTCAGGACGGAGAGGGAGAGAGAAAGCATGCATGACGACATAGGAGGCGGGGGGTGGGAAAAACAAGAAGTGTGAATGAAGAGTGGCGTGGGCGAAGGGGACAGAGGCATTAGGCGCAGAAGGGACAAAGCGGGCGGGAGGGGCCAAAGCAAAAAGGCGGAAACACACCAGAACAAACAAAAAGACAAAGAAGGAAAGAAAAAAAAAGGGCAAAACATTGAGGCAATATTGAGTAAGAATCCTGATGGTGGGGGTCTATTGGTATATGCAGGGCTCTCGGAGGAGGGTTGGTTGGCCTAATTGTCGTGGGTAGGGTATCTTTCATGTACGCTCGGAGAAGAGGCGCAAAGAGGGTGGAGGTCATCCCCAACTAGACCCTTCTGAAGACCTTCCCTTCCTTTTGAAGGTGTTGAAATTAATAACTAAATCGGAACCTTAGATCAACTCCCATCCTTCTGCAGGATGTTTCTTTTTCACGATCAGTGTGCTACAAGAGGGGAAAAAAAATATCAAGGCTTTAACGCTAGCTAGGAAGGACTGTGTAGAGGAAGGATGCTAAAACGTAGTGAGAGGCGGGTGCGGTCTGGAGAGAGAGCCTGCTATAAAGGTGGAGAGAGATTTGAAGGTGGTGGACTAGATAAAAAAGGGGCTCGGAGAGTGAATACGAAATGAAACAAGAAAAAACGGGGAGGAATACAGTCACATGGGGCGGAGTGAATTTCGCCGTGGCTGTCAAACAGCTAAACAAATTGACATAGGGCCAGCTACCTCTCTAGCTAGATAGCAAAGAGAAAGACTCTATATAGTATATGCTGGAGGAGGGTCACTTGGAGACCAGAGAGATTGCTCAAGGTCTACCTGTTCTGCATGCTCGCGTGTGGAGTGATCGTCACTGGGCCGCCGCTGGACGTAGTCCAGTTTGTATAGCGGGACACGATGATTTCTTGCAAGTGTTCCTCTAGAATCTGACTCTGGACCCGTCGAATGGGACTCTCCTTCCCGTTGCGCGCCGCCCAGCTTACCAGGATAGCAGATTTAAAAGGGGCGGATCTATAAACCCCTGTGATTTTTAGAGAAAGAAGGAGGAAAGCCGTTGGGTGATTGTGATAACTATCAGCAAGCCTTTCTTCCCTAGTCATCAGGTGCTTGTGATTTCTGATTAAAACTCATGCTGTGCTATGTGTAATAAATGTTTTAATTGCGTTCAACAGACCTGGGGGATTGTAGTCAGTCATTTTGTTGCCATATATACCCTCACAGGGTTTCAACAAAGGATGCTTGCCGACAAGGTATAATACAGCTCACACTACGTTGCCAAGCCTAGTCGTGTTGGGGGACTCTGGGGGGAGCTGCTAGTGTTGTAAGACGAATAACTCTGTTCGTAGCCTCACACGTCCATTGTCGCACAGTATTTTGAAAACTTCGCCTAATTTGTGATTTGTTAGGAAAACAATCACCGCAAATGGCTAACATTATTGAATAGGGAGGGAGGGTTTGATGTCGCTCTTACGCAAGCGACAGCAAAAACATTCCCTCCCTTACAAGGCTTATAGGAAAAATATATATTGTGGGCTCCCTTTGTGAAACCGATTTATTTGAGGAAGAAAGGAGGAGGAAAATGAGGAAATCCCTGCACAAAAATTCACAGTGGTTATTAGCCAGTGAGAGGGATCGTTGTATGAATGTAGCTGTGGCCAACTTTAACTAAGATTCCAGGGACGTGTGTCGGTCCCTACAATGCAGACGTGTCAGGTGAGGACCGAAACAAAAGACGGCCAACCTACTCTGTCAGGGACGGTACACCCTTTCATTGGAACGATAAACGAGTTCAATCCTCTGGCGAATTTGAGATTGTTTACGGCGAGGAGAACGGCTGGAGAGTAACAGTGACAATAGGTGAGCTCCGGAATAATGGACACCAATCAAATTCCTGAGAATGGTCCTGGAGAGAAATCTCCCCACCAATGGATTCCAAAATTACACATAGTAGAACAAAAATGTTAGTTAAAATTATGAGCATCATTGAAATTTTATATCCGTATGAGACTGTAACAGCCAAGCTACATAAGATTATCATGTTCTAATTAGAACTCTTTTGGGGCCCACCGCCCGCGCCGGGGTCCAGCCAGGCGCCTCCCGACGACTCCCGCATCCCGCCCCTAGGGATAGCTAGAGGTAAAAAATGCCGTGGCGGAGAACGTGTAAAAAGGTAACCTTCTGATAAAAGGTCGGGACAGGGGCCGTGTGGTGGGAAAACAGGTAAGGGAAATGGATAGGAGCGATTGATGTGGTATGCGTGACTATTGAGTGAAAGACTTAGTCGAGGGGCGGGTGTATGTATGGAACAGGAGCAAGTGTGGGGTTCTCTTTGAGGCCAGACATCGGGGTTTACTCAGTACCTATGAGAAGACGGCACAACAGGGTCCCGAACATTATGAAAGTCAGTATCATTGCAAACCCTATATCCCTGCTGATGCCCTTTTGCTGGGGCAGAGTAGTATTTTTGAGTGTGACAGGCTCACGAGTTTCTCCAGACAGAGGGAGAGAGGAGGAGGATGGTCCCAGTGAAGGGGAGATATATTATGGCACCCATAGGCCCCTTGCCCTCAATTCTGTGAGGGTGCACAGGAGGGAATAATTATTATGAGCCACCCGCCACAAAAAGTAAAGCAATGCGCATATTACTTGGATTTGCAGTCTGAGATTACAGACTGAACCCACAGAAATTCTAGCACGCCTATCTTGTGATTCTGCAGGGGCTCTAGGAGGGTAGTGCCTACTCCTTACTTTGTGGTGGGATGCGGTAGGGAGAGGAAGGGAAACTAAGGACGCGGAGAAAAGAAACCACAAGACTCTTTATTGGCGTGCGGGACGGTACTACCACAACAAAAGAACTTAGGGAAAGAATAATTCAATAATTATGGAAGGTATTATTAGCGTCTCCAACAATCTGCATTATGATATACAATTCTAACTTGTTTTAAACTTTCAAAGATGGATTCCTCTTCCACATCAGCCCATGATAAAGGGCAGAGAGAGACGGTTATCCATGGACATTAGAACATTGAAGCCATAATAGTGGTGCCGCATCGCTTATAATATAGTAAACGTAAGGGTGGTGAACTATAGTTGCCCCATCTTGCTGAGCGGCCTGTTGTAAGTAGCTCAGTTAGAAGAGTTAGCTAGCTGCGGATAGGGGGTTATAAATGTTTTTGCCTGCTGTGGTTGCCATGGTTGTGGGTATCGTAACGTGATAGGGGGTAGTCGGGTGATGGAGTGCGGCAGAGTTGATGAAGTAATGGAGACGGATACTGCAGAGTTGTAGCACTTACAACGGATTGAACGCGGGAACATTCCGTCAACATTGGTCTCAGCTATCCGTATATGTTAGCGTACACATGAGCTGGTTTTAGCAATGAGCATGGCTTTAGCTATTGGTAGTACTTCATATTTAGTAATTGCTTGTATTGCGTTTTGCTATGATATATAGTCAGTAATAGTCGTGCGCTGCCAGTGGAAATCTGGTACAGCGGAGGGGGGGGCTGGGGGGTTAATTAAAAGAAAAGACGGTGGGGGACAGGGGAATATGTATATATCTACAATCACGGGAAACTCAGTGACCTGTGAAACCTCGGATGGGAACGCAGTATAAGAGTAAGGATACCCCAATAGTAGAGCAATCACCATATGACGCATCAAAATGGTCACACTGCATAGCTAAAACCTGAAAACGTTAACCAACATGCCATGAATTCATTGAATTGGAAAAACATCCACCAAAATGTATGCATTTATTTATCAACATAACCTATAAGACCCCATAAAATTGCCCTCAGTGTTTTAACATATGTTAAATTGTTTCATCTACTAATTATGGTCAGGATGTGTCAGGATGGCTATTGCTTTGAGTGACTTGGAGTACCTTAATGGGAAAGTAAACGTCGTTGCAGTTGGCCGACAACGGGTCACGAATATGATGATCCCGACAATCTCCAGTTTGAATCTGCAACTATGGCGGAGAGGAGCTGGAGATGAAGTTAAAGGATTATGCCAGCGGTAGCTATTACTTTTAGCTATTACCTCAAACAGATGATATCACTAAACATGCATAAAACCCTTAGCACCATAAGTTAGATTTATTAACACCTACATCATATTGGCGGAGTTTTTTTACATGCATTTATTGTCAGTTGAAAGATATTGAAATAAAGAAACAAAGATGCTCCTGGACTGAGAATAGTGTAAGGGTATACTATCATCTGGGAGGATTCCATGCAGTGAGGTGAACTTTGTGAAAGGAGAGAGCAGGCAGAAGAACAGAAAACTAGAGGTCTGTTACGACGTCAAGATTCATCATCGATTAGGTCTCGATTTACTGATTAACCGATACAAGCAACCTGAGGGATTACTTTTTACTGCAAGGTATTTCAGTGTGAATGGGCCAGCATGTATTACTATACACAAATTTAAGGCCAGTAGATCAAGTGGGAACAGCCATGGAGGAGCAGTGTCTGGTCCTATTGGTCTCTCCCCTCATCTTCCCTGTGAGAGTGAGACCCTTTAATTAAGAAACCGTTTTGCTTTTGCCAGCGAGCAGAACTTGAATTTAAAAGACCACGTTAACAAATTATACGGTTGAAGGAAATGTGAGAGTACTTAAGGGATAAATTTAGAAAGATGATGTGAAATGTGAAGAAACAAAAAGAGGGGGGTCAGAGATAAACAAGCTACATTCTGCCACATTCCAATCTAAACGAAAAGGTTCCCAATCACATAGAGGCCTCCTTCTTGCAAACAACATTGCAGGGCTCTTGGCAGGTGGTGGGTGGACATAATCTTAGCCGGTGTGGTGGGATTGTATCTTATTCAATAAGGAGAGGAGCCAAGAGGTGTGGAGTCACCCAAACTTTTTTTTTATTACCTTCTGGAAAGACGCCCTTCCGTTGTGAAGGTGGTGACTGTTTGTGCAAGGCGGGAAAACGACGGAGAAGGAGGGGGCCGAGGGGGGCACAAGCTTCACCGATTTTTTTCCAGGGATGGATTTATTCTTTACACATCAGCCCTTTGCTTAGAAGAGAGACAGACTATAGTGGTCTATCATGAAATTAATGTGCGCATGCGTCTAGCAATCTGCAGCCATTACTGCGAACGCTAGTTTTCGCGCGGATGATTTCAACGTACAGGCGCTCACTCGATTGTTTTTTTGCGTCAGTGCAATGGATGGAAGATCCAGATAATCTCCTCGACAATCCTGAGTGTGTATAGTCCTGATCGTCAGGGGGGGCTCCAGCACGGTCAACTGTACCATGACGCGAAAGCCATCCCTGCAAATGTTCGTTTCATGACGAGGGGGGCGTCATGTGGGCATCGACATATCAGCGAACCTACTTCGTTTACCCGTGAGTTTAGGGACTTAAAAGGGTCCCCACGAGCGGATGGGTAAGAGGCCTGGGAGCAGATAGTATGGATAACTATAGGTGGATGCAGTCTATGGTTGTTTAGAAAGAGATTTCTCTACTCCAGCGTCTAGCCCAAGTCAGACGATGAAAAGGAATAACTAATACTTCTTCACCTGCCACTATAAATTCACAAACTGTCCCCCGAAAACCCCATATACCAGTGCAGTGTTGCCAGTGGTATAAGGTTACACACATAGAGTAACGCTGTTGTTATTTGTATTGCTTGCACTTTGTCTCTGCAGGGCACCTGCCAAAGTTTGGGGATTAGGGAAAAAAAAGAGGAGCATATGGGAAGCGACCCCCGAGTTGCAGGCCTGGAGTTTGCCCAGGAGTTTGCGAATAGCTTTCGTACCGGTAAGGGAACTAAAAGGACAGGATTTGGGTGTAAATAATAATTACGGATATGATGTGGCGGGAGATGGGCACTTTTAGGAGGGAGGATACGTAGGTTATGAACTAGAGTGAAACAACAGGTTCGAAAGAGTTTTGGGGTCGTTGATTAGGTGGGCTCCGGAAAATGAAACCGGGAGGAGACGACCCGGAATACAAGAGTGCATCGGCATAGAGCAGGTCGTAGATGCAAGGGCGGATGGGTGGGACGATAGTCTCCCTAAGGGGGATGAAAAAAAAAAAGAAGAGACGGTGAAGGTCGGTGAGGGAGTGTTACTTGGAACCTCTTACTGCAAGATTAGAGGCTGAAACCTGGACTTTTCCTGAGTCAACCACACGGGGGTATAACGGAGAAGATATGGAACTTGATCAGACAGGGTGGGACCTTCGCACTGGGGAACGTCGAGACTGGTAGGATCGTAGTACGGGGACAGTCGAAGTCAGAATATTACAAAGAAGCGGGGAAAGAAAAGCAGTAAGAGGCGGGAGACACGGGGAAGGTGACACACAATGCAACCATCCTACTTGACACATGTGGTCATGCATTTCTCCAACCTATAAGCAGAGCAAGGAGCTGTGGGCATATCTTTTGTATTCAATTGTCACACAAATTGGTGCCGTTGCATAGATAGCTTAGTTATATAATGATCGTGGTTTTTACGGTCTAGTCAACTAGTCCTGGAGATAAATACAGTTACACTATACCATTTCACTTTCATTTAGTACTGAAACAGTTCCCACATTGGCCATATAGAGTTTGACAAAAACTTGTAACCGTAACTGAACCAGTTTATGAAGAAGACAAATTCACGTATGCTTACTCTAATCTCTTGGTAGAAAGATACTCCGCCATAAGAATGCCTTGTTTGGATGCGCTCTCGTGTTGGTGCACAAAAAGATGCTCTTTGTTGCTGTTTTTTTTGGTGAAATTTGCAGTTTATCCTAGAGGAAACCAAAAGTCCATCTTACCCTCCACTATTAAAAGTATATCTGAGAATAATGGATTAGCTACTATACCTTGTTTAACCTTCTGTCGAGGGTTTGAAACACAATCAGCTTTTGTCCAAATGCTGCATGTGCCCAGGTAATGAACCGTGCATGGACAGAGGATCCTCACATGCTGAGCAGCAGCATTCATGTGTTTGTCACAGAGAGACTCGGTGATATTCAAGTACGAGCTGGAGCCATGAACATGGTGTACACAGAGGAGGAGCTCACTGATACTGCAATCATATTTGTAAGCAAATGAGCGTTAAGTGGCGAGATATGGAAGGCCTAGAGAACCCAGCACTTGTAGAAGTTCATAATCTGCCAGGCCTTGAAGTAATTTTGAGGGTACTATATACTCTATGTGGTTACTACTGCAACAGTAGGATTTCCGCCCTTTTCCTCTCGATCCACATGTTAGATTATGCAGGCTCAGGGAACAAGATAAAGAAGACGTCTACGGTAAAGGAGTAAGACAGTGGCTAGACGGAAAACATTGCATAACTAAACATTTTTAGCGTGAGTTAGTTGAGTTTGTATGATGAAAATTGTAAAACCATTATATTTTTCTGCAGCTGGTGTAAACCAAGCCAAGTATACTGAATAACTGAGTAATATAACCTGTAGGAATTTTTTTCGTCAACAGAATCATAGCTGATCACGTGCCTGACTAACCAGAGCATGCAGCATGCATGCATGCTAGCAGGCTCCCCCGCGCGCGCGCGCAGGCGTTAATTACGGATCGCGGTTTTGCGACCGGCGCGGCCTATATAGCTAGCTACTATATAGCTAGCTAGCTAGCTCTCGATCTCACGCGTGTTACGAAGCGGACAAAAACGTTAATTTAGATAATTCCGGTATACGTTGCTTAACTCCCACGCAATGAACCGCGCTCCGCTTTGGAAGCGTTCCTCGATCCCCCTGGACGCGACGCTACGCAAGTTTTAAAACCATGAGCTGGGCGCTTATCATCGTCGGTCCATACACAAGATGTTTCTACTAGCCAGTGTCCTCCTCTGCGTGTGTGTCCTGGTGGTCCCTGGGACCAGCGTCACATGTAACATAGACCCCAGCGACTCCTGCAAGTGCTCCTTCGCCGACGGAGGCAAAACCTGGAACATCGACATCAGCAAGTACTTCACTACCCGTGAGTAGAATCATTGCGTCAGCCGGGCAATGATTTTGTCCTTATACGACCGCCAGGCTCAGCTGGAGCTAGCGTGCTAGTGGCGGTCGTTTGTACCGCCTCGTGGTGTGCTTCTAGCTACATAGCCTATATACAGCTATGCCGAGTAAATACATCTCATTCAGTAACACAGCGGCCAGAACGTCCGAACTAGCTGCTGATCTTGTGTTGCACGTGTTTTGTGTGTGTTTTTAAGACGATTATCTGGCTGACTCACCGACCGCTGACTGACTAGAGGGAAGGCAGTGGGTAGATAAGGTGTATACAAACAGTATTCATGTGCATCATTTGGGAAGTTCAGTTTGGTGAAAGTGACGTGTGTTTTCATGGATGGGAAAACCCCCTCCCCCCTCTAATAACTGCACCTTCATTAGATTAGCGTCAGTGACTACAGGTTTCAGTGGTTAGAAAAATGTACCAGGGAGGGATGGTAATCCTGTGTACCACGTCAACCAACTGCTCACCTACCTCTCTCTCTCTTCTTTCTATCTCTGTCCCTCTGACCAGCGCTCACCCCAAGCCAGTTGAGAGCAAGTACACGTACACCTACACCTGCTATAACGCCCCGTGTCCCAAAAACCCTAATTCCACTGCAGTCGTAAGTCTGTCACACACACACACACACACACACACACACACACCACACACACACACACACACACACACACACACACACACACTGCAATATACATAGCAGCCTGCATAATAATTATGATACATGTGCCAATCAGTAGACAGGCTTTTCATACTTCACACTCCAATGCATGACCTGTACCCATGTGCCCTTCCCCTCAGGTCCCTGCAGTATGTTTGAAAAGCATGGGAGACTATCCACTTGGTATAAGTAGATCAGCATCCTCTCGTGGGACGTGACGGATCCTTCGGATAGTTCGTTGACTTATCGTCATCCACTTACAAGAGAACGGACAGAAGTCAGATGACCAGACTCAGGTGAATCATGCTCTCCATCTACTACCCAACGATCATTCACATACTCCATAT